AAGACCATAGAAGAATTGATGCTTTAGAGGTATGATGTTGGAGGAGAATATTGAAAGTGCCATGGGCTGCCAAAAGAATGAACAGATCTGTGTCAGAAGAAGTGCAGCCAGAGCACTCTTTGGAGGGCAGGATGGCCAAACTTTGTCTCTCTTTATTCGGACAGTCACTAGAGAAGGATATCATGTTTTGTAAGGTGGAGGGTCAGAGAAAAGGGGAAGACACCCAGCGAGATGGATTTGCAAAATGGCAGCATTAATGGGCTCAAGCATGGCAACAATAGTGAGGTTGGCCCAGGATCGGGCAGTGTTTCGTTCTGCTGTGCATAAGGTCACTATAAGTCGGTACCTACTCAATGGCACCTACCAACAACAGCATAGCCTTCTGCTGCTCTTTAGCTCTATGCCATTTCCTATACCACATTGTCTGTTGGCACCACTTTTCTGGTCAGGATCCCTCGCTCCTCTTAAGTTCTTCCATCTTGATGGTTCTAGGGTCCTCTGTTCCTGAAATGACAGATCACCTACTCCCTCCCTTTTAGTTATACCTCTTCAAATTTACTGTTGTGACAACTGCCATTAGATGTGACAGTAATTACTCACAATTAAGTCATACAATCCTATCCCCCTCATCTCAGACTCATCTGGACAAGAGAAAAACTACTCAATAGGGTTTCTGTCTTACTCCCCTTGTTCTGACACTAAGCACCCTCGTGAAAACTCACAAGCCAGCCATTTTGTGCCTTTATGCCCCCCGATTTTTAAAGGGGAAGTCTAAGTTGCCTGCCCCTATCAACCCAGTGTGCTATGTAAGTATGCTTGACTCTTAGTATGCTGCAGAAATAAACATAACCCTATTTGGGTAGAATTTCGGGCAGCTTCATCCATAAGGAAAGGTCCAGTTGATCAGGTTGTAGCAATTTATGCTTTCTCCCTATATCATACTTCTTTATCTTCATCTGGTCGAATTTTGGTCAGGAAGCCATCCAAGCTAGGTCAAATGGGTACTGTCTGCAAGTTTGGGAGCTTTTGCATGCCTCCTTTCAGATTTTCAGAGCAGCTGGCTACATTATTCTTAACACTAGCCCCCAGTGGCTAGGTTCGTGTCTTTGGGCTCGGGAGTTCACACGTATTCCTGAACTTAGAACCAGCCAGTCCATTCTCTTCTCTCTCATCTCAAAGTCATCAGTCTTCTATGGA